GGCACTCCTGAGCAAACCACAGAGACAAGACAGAAGGCAGGCCTGTTGGTGGCTCAGCCGTAGGCCCAGGCCTGAAGCTGGTTCCTTGACCAAAGGGAACTTCCAGGACAACTGGAATTTCACACTCGGTTGGAAGGAGCTGACAGACTCCTGCCACCCAGGGCCATAGCCTTCCCATCACACCCTTCCAGAACTGCCACCATCTCATCCCAGATGACCCATTAGGCTGTCTTCACTACAGGGCCAGAGCTAGGGGTTGTAACCTTCAGGTAACCAGAGCAGTCTAGAATCAGCAAAGGAACAGCTGTTTTCTAAGACCCTGAGAGCCATGAGGTTGGATCTTAGCCTGCGGGTATCAGGTGGCCTCAAATCACCAAGCACAGAGGCCTATCATAGTTGGGTGATGACATGGTCTCTTGATCTAGTTGGAGCAGATGCTAGGCCTTAGTTGGATGTCATATGATATTTATGGCTTGAGAATCAATGAATGAATGGAGAGCCAGGATGGGACCAAGGGAGCAAGAAGGGATATCAGATGGGAGACCAGGGAAGTCCCTAAGCTTAAGTTGTGGGCCCTATTCCTGCCATAGCTGCCTCCATGTGGCCCAAGGCTCAACCTGCAAAGGGGTCACAGTGAGGGAGCCCAGGCCAGCAGTTCAGGAACCACACTTCTTCAGAAACTGCCTCATGACCTTTGAGGGTTTGTTTCCTGATATCCCTGGTACATTATCTGAAGGAAAAGTCACTCTACTTTAGGTCAACGGGGATATTGCCAGAAACACCCCGTATCTTGGGGTGAAAGCCAGGAAGGAATGTCAGGTGGTGTAGGGAGCCGTCCCTGCATTCTCCATTACAATGATGGCGCCTGCAGGCACTGAATGTAAATAAGATTATTGCGCAGGCGCTGGGTAATCTTCCATTCCTTGATCTCTGTCTATTCCGTGGCGTCATAGGGCCTGAGGAGCTGAAGCCAATCATAGGGTGACACGTCCCAGGCGGCGGCTGCCAGCCTTTATTAGGGGACGGGATTCTTGGCTCGGGGTCTCCGCTCTGGTAAGCTTATGCTCTCCTCTCAAGATGCATTAAAGCTTTCCTGCAGAAGGATCCGAATGTCCTGTGTGGTTCTTGCTGGCGAGACTATTGCGCGGGACAAGGTGGGATCCTCCAGCCCTTCATTTGCTTTGGAAACTGTTCAGATCCTGCAACCCCTCTCTGCTGTCCCTAGAGGAGACAGAGGAGGGTAGACAGTGCTTCCTGTCTCTGCATAGCCTGTCTTTGAATGATGGCACATTGACAACTGTCTCCCTGGGCTGTTTAAACAGCTCCCAGGAGGACCACAGGTAGACAGGAGGCACACTGTGGGTCACCCTCTGCTAGGACCAAGACATCTATTAAAATCAGGGCCTGGAGGCAGAGGCCTAAAACTGCATTTACTTCTAAAGATGAGGCATGAAGATTGCAAATTCAAAACCTGCCTAGGCTATAGAGTGAGTTCAAGGCCAGCAACTGTGCAACTTAGCAATACCTTGTCCCAAAAGGCATACTAGAAGGAGGGTTGGGGATATAGTTCCATGGAAAGGTACTTGCCTAGCATGGCAAGGAAGGTCTTTAAATTCATTCCTCAGGACTACAGACAAACTTATGTTGAGCTGGGTGTTTTGCAGTATGGAGGGAGAAACCCCATATACTGACTGGAACTAGAGTCTTAGTCTGTTTCCTTGGACACAGGGGAAAAAGGATAAATTTTCACAGGAGTCTAATAATGTTCAGGGAGGGCAGAGTTACCCAGGTACAGAGAAAGCTCGATTCTAAATTTAAATAAATACAGCATAATAAGGTTTTATGCAAACTACTTTCACTGGGACCTTAAAAATGGGCAGATATGAAAGACACCTTTAATTTGCCATGTGGTGAACACATGGTAAATTAGAAAAGTAGCACAGAGCTCTGTTGTAACTGAGACAGAGAAGAAAGCATTCTAACCCAGCTGCTTCTAGCTAAGTGTTTGCTGGTGTCTGATTTCTGACAGGGCAGAACTGGGCATGGGGGTCCTCAGATCAGTACCGGAGCTGCTGCTGTCCCCCGGGAGGCCATCTCTAAGCAGATGGGGTTCCTGCATCATTGTGCTGGGTGGGGGTGCTTAGTGAGGAGTTCTTCACTAAGACCCCTTTGCCATCTGAATGTGGCTTCGTGGGACAGTTAAGGCAGGGACAGGGTGTGGAGCCCAAGCTTGGAGACTCCTGAATCTTCCCTCAGAAGTCTTTTCATGGCCCCTTGGGCCTCTTTTCATTCTTTGGTACTCTAGGTGTGGTATGGCATATGGCATTTAGTGTCCCTTAGAACATATTGGAAATTCCAAAACACAGATCCCCATCTCAGACCCACAGAATAGAATATTCAACTTTACAAGAGACTGGGGGGGGGGGGGCTCTATATGCACATTGGAGTTTGCAGGCCAAATGGCTTTTCCAGAATGTTCAGCTGGGCCTTCCCCAGTGAGGCCAGCACACCAGACTCCCTCCTGCATTTCCCAAAAGTGACGGGTGAGTTTGAGCCAAGGATTTCTCACTTCCTAGCTAGGGTCACTGACTCCCAGGAGCTTCAGAGAGTTTATCTATAGGATGAGAACAATGCCAGCAAGTGTCCAGGGCCTTTGTAAGATGGAATGGAATGCAGGGACTCTCATTCAACCTTGTTTTTCTCTCTGCCTCCAACCCACACATTCTGTTGACTACTGGCATCCCTGTGAACTCGGTTTAGGAAAGCTGACTGCGGATGGAGGATGCTTTATTCTGTGGCAGCAGCTAAGACTAACAGTGACCTGATGGCCCAGGCTTCAAACACCAGCTTTCTTATTCCCAGCTTCATTCCTCTCTGAGTCTTTTTGGTCTTGAATAAGAGAGTTTGGGAAGACAAGGTCACATGACAACGAGAAGTGAGTAACTCGAGTGAAGTACCTGGCACACAGTGAGCACTGTGACACATCTCTCATCACCATCATTACCCACCCCTGGTCACCTAGGAGAATAGAAAATGCTATGCAGATATAAGGCATGTTACTAATGCACATATTTCTTGTGCCCACATCAGACAGCCTTTGGCAACCAAATTAATCTCGACTATGACCTGCCCTGCCCTGGGAGCCTACAGTCTGAGTTATCCTAAATATGGCTGCATCCTCCACTTAGCCAGCACACTCTGGGTGGGGCACCTTGCCATGCTTATTTTTGATGTGTCCTGGCAATGGGCGTAAGTATGCCCCATAGATCTCAGACAATGTTCTCAGCTAGGCTGCGTATTGCTTTAACCAATCCTTAAAGTCTCTAGATGTTCAGCATCATACCCCAGGTGTTCTTTCCAATGGTCTGAGGTGTGGCTGAGACTTTGGGATTTTTCCAATGCTCCCCATGGTACTTTTCCATCTAAAGGATGATGGGGGTGTCTAGGAAGTTTGAAGGAAGCCCCTACTGTTTTCCATTCACTCAGAGGAAAATTTTCTCTATTGCTCTCTCCAAAGGGAAGGCCACAAGGAATGTGAACATATTGAGACAGTAAACAACTCTGCCCCTAGAAGCAATAAACTCTCAAATGAACTCAAAACCAACAAATTGCATCTTTGGCTAATGGGAATATTTTTTGTTCCTCTGTGAAAAACAGATCAAAGCAGGTTAGCCTCAGGAATTCAGGGTACAGATTCCAGGGTCTGTCTCTGGCCCTGCATGCTCATCTCTCCACCTCTCATGCTCTTGTGAGCACCCTGTGGTCACAAAGCAAGAATTCACAGGTGCCCTGTCTTCTTTGCAAGCCAATAGCAAACACACCCATGCTTGACCTTAATGGTATGCACAATGGAATAGTGTGTTCTGGGCAGTCTCAATGCCAACTAAAGGGTTCACAATTAATCAGATGGCCAATCTCCTGAGCTGCTACCACCCTGAACTCCAGTGCTTTATTTCAGCCCATGAGGAATTTCAGGCTCCAGTGGAGAGATAGATGTCTTGCAAGAACAAACCAAGCCAGCCTCTGCTTTCCTGTTGGTTGGAGAGTTAGGACCTTCTCTGGAAGACAGCTGGCCTTGACTGCTGGTCCTGCAGGTGACTCAGAAGCAGCTAAAGTTCAAGGGAGGCTTTGTTTCAGGTCTGAGTCTGCTAAGAAGTCACTATTACAGAGGGACCTAGTGGTTTTCCTGGGGCAGGATGGGAAAATGCCCCACCTCCTTTCCCAGGATTTTCATGCTGGTGAAGAGGTTCCTGATGGGAAACTCTGTGGGCAGAAAAAGGATCCAGCTGCTGTGCTACTCGGCATCTTCTGCCTTTGCTCACTCTTCCCATCTGGAATGCCTGACCCACCCTGACTTCTGGGCAGACTCTTACTCAGAAACCTTTGCCAAAGTGTTCACTCAAAGCGTGATCAGTCCTGGGCCCGCTTCTGGCAGCTCTTGAACACCTTGAATTATCAAACACCTCTTTCCACACTGAGCCCAGTACTTACACCTATGCCCCCCAGACTGAGAGCCCTTCCCAAAGTCTCTCACCCAGGGAGACTCACCACCTAGCTAGGTCAACTTCCAGCTCAGGGAAAGAGGCCACCTGCTTGCTGAGTGAGTGGTGGTCCCCAACCTGTAGACAAGTAGAGTAGATAGGGAGAGGGTTTCTTAGAGAAGTCAGTACAGGCAAAGTCTGAGAATTCTAGCTGTCTGAGACTAAGAGCTGGAGACTATTCCTGGTGGGAAAAAGGTAGAAACACCCTTATGTGGCCTCAGATCCTTGGGGTAACACTTGTTTCCTCCATATCTTTGATTAGGAGCTGACTGACCCAGGCCAAATGTATCCACTGAGAAATAGGATCTACCCTTTGTCTAATTGGAAGATAGACATGCAAATAAAAACAGGCAGAGATGGAAGGACAAATGTGGGAGTGCAGACAAAGTCAGAAAGATGGAGAGAAATAACAAGCTCGGCACATTTTCTGCATGGGTCTCTTGTGGGGCAGCCACTCACCAGTTCCTTTCTGAGCCAGGTTATAGCTTCATCGATACTCTGGAAGCCTTCCAGCTTGCCCGTGGTCAGTGGTCCATCGCCCTGGCTGGCACTCCTGGCAGGTGGGAGAAGCTCTCTGGACTCCCTTAGAGGTATCGAAGGCTCTCCACCTCCACAGGCTCCCTCCTCCAAGCTTGCCTCTTGCTGGGCTGCTGACCTTGGGAAAGGCCACGTCTGCTCCTCCAGCCTGGCCTGCCATTCCAGGTAGGAGGGTCTTCGGGTCTCTAGCCTCAGTTTCTCAGTGAGGGCCTTCAGGCTGAGGAGGTGGTCATCTGGAGGTGCGGCTGCCCCTGCTGGCCTGTCATTCTCACCCACTTCGTCCACTTGGATCCGGGGCACAGACATTCTCTAGTCTGCCCTTGTAGCCACACATGGGAGGTGGAGGAGGTCACTCAGGAGGCTTGCTGGGTAGCAAGGTCAAGTCCTGCTCAGCAAGGACCTCATACAGCAGTGGCCATGACTCCTGAAGGCATTGTTCGGATGGGAGTGAGTCTCACGGCTTGGCAGCACCTGGAGCCAAACAAGGCTGTGAAGTGTGCCTCTCTGAGCAGGTGTGGCTCAGGGTCTATGATTTGTCCCGTAATCCTGTGGGGCCATGTTTCACAGAAGGCAGGATCAGACAAGCGTCAGCAGGAATCTTTGGGGCGGCCTCCTCCGAGATCTATCTATGCTTGCCAGAGGTGTGCAGGTCGGAGGTGATGGGAATGCCCTCTTTGGGGGGAAGTAAGCCTGCAGGATGGAAAAGAATCATATCAGCCCTGGTCTCACCCCCCAAGATGGGAAACTGAGGTCCATGGACCGGGTTTCTACTTGCCAGTTCTTGGCAAGAAGTGAAGTAGTTTCACAGACTTCATGCAGAGCAATTGATTGAGTCAGATAGAGCTTTACCTTTTGTAAAACCACTCTACCTGTCTGAGCCCAGGGAAGCCCTTGCAGCAAGTTTAGATGCTTGATTTTAACACCCAATACACAGAGGAAGAATCCGAGTCTCCAAGAGGCCAAGTGACTCACCAAGATAGATCCCTCAGCAAGAAACAGGGGACAAAATCAGCTGGTCTGAATCTCAGGATATAGGTGTCTCCTCTGGGCCGGTCCTCAGAGGCAGCTGACTGGCCAAGTGGGACTCCGCACAGCCCCAGGACAGGTGTCTACTGCCCCTTAACCACCCTCACTCATCACAACCGCACCTTCCATCGGCACACAGCTTCCGGCTCCAACAACAACACCTGACCTCACCCCTTCAGAGGAAGCAAATAAAACGGCAGCCTGGGCAGGGAAGAAGCTGGCGGCTGGAGCTGGGCTGTGAAACTGAAGGAGACTCATGACTCACTCTTTTGGAAAGATGTTTCTCACGTTTACCTGGAGAGCCCACAGGGGAGCACCACCTTGCGAGGGATCTGGCTGTGCTCTGAGATGACCACCTTGGCTCTGGGGACGGGTGTAAGCCAAGACTCTTAGCCTATCTACAACAGTGTAGATAGAGAAGTTGCTGAGTGAGAAACAGACTCGAGCCTCCCAGCCTGAGCATCTCATGTCCGAGGAGATCTGGGCAAGGGCCCATCGGGGTAGGAGGCACATGACTTGAACTTGGGTTTGAAACATAGCTTTGCTGAGCTCTATACATGAACGAACTGAGGTGGGACCGGATCCAGGATAAGGCTCTGATGAAAAGCTATAGGCTCAGCCTCTTGGAGCACATGCTGCCCTTGTGTGGAAGGAGGAGGAAAGAGAGAGGTGTTTATTGACTTTGTGTGCCTTTGAAAACCCCTGACTTCATGGTGACACAAATCGGTCATGCTGCTTTTGTGCGGGCAGCATCCCCACATCCCCTAATCCCTGATGGTGATCTGCTTTCTATCTCCACACATTTTCTTCCTGAGAGTGCTCCATCATTCCCCCGCACAGGCTCAGCCCTCTTGCCGTTAGCATGGCACACTTGAGGTGTTTATCAGTATTTCATTCTACTTCATTTCTTGGCAAAGGGATGGAATACAATTTGTCTCTTCACCTGTTGAAATGCATGAAGCTGTTTCTGCATTTTAGGGATCATGAATAAAATCAGCTTAAGGGGTAAAGAAAAATACATATATTCCCGCTCAAAAAAATTAATTCAGGTGATACCTTATTGCAGTGACAGGTGGACAGAGATGAGGATTTAAGATGGGGGAGGTGCAGGAGCAAACTGGCAGGCTGGCCATTGAGGTGGGGGGAGGATGGTCCTCCTGACAGGCATGAAGAAGGTAAGAACACAGCTTTTTGCTCAGGACCACTCCTGCAAGTCTACGCTGCAGGGAGAGCTGACCAGAGCATCAGGGGCTGCTCTCCCCAGACTCCAAGCCTACCCTCCCTAGGACATCACTAGGGAATGAGGACATTCCACCCCACAGATAGCAGAGAAACCCAGTCTGATTTCTTGCCTTCTCTGGGCAAGTAACAGTACCTTGAGGGTCCTTGATCCCTCCCAAGTATTCTAAGCTCACTGTGTGGGCCCAGGGGCTTCCTCAGCAGCCACTCAGCTTCCCAGAAGCTCCAAGCACATAGCTAGGTAACCTTTAGAGATGCTGACCCTAGCTCTAGGCTGTCAGGCTAGCTGAGCCTCAGTCTGACTTTCTGTAAAAAGGGTTGATTGATACTATGCATCTATACCACGCATCTCTTCGTATATGCTCTCTGACTGTTAGCACGCTGGGAAGACACAGCAACTCTTGATATTCTGCCTCTCCAGATTCTTGTGATCAAACTTCTTCAGATCTCCCCACATATGAAAACCTGGGAGTGACTTCCTGGAGCCCCTCCCAGGCGCCTGCTGTCTGCTTTTTGTGCTGAGGTGCCAGCCTTCATTCTGAGTACACCCGGGGGCATCCGAACCCTAGAAAGCTTCCTTCCCCAGACAAGGGAGCTCTCGCCACACCCAGCAGAGCTTTTTGGAGAAAGTCCAGTTTGGACAGGCTGATGAGCAGCACCCTACTCACCAAGTCCTGGGAGGGACAACACAGGTGGGAA